GCAATAGACTTTATCCTTCCCCTTAGAAGTATCAAGACATTGACTGTCGCTGCTACAATTTGATTCCCTAAGTTTTTTCCTATGTTATATTTTCGTATATCCATTGAGCTGTTGCTTCGCATTCGAAGATGATATGGTGGCTGTTTCTTCCTTCTCATTACATAATCGCAGATGGGATCTTTATTGTACATGCCCATGTTGTGTAGATACCAGTGGTCGGTCCTATCACTCCTATGAGTTTAGCCCTCTCCAGTTGCAGCAGTGATTTTGCCAGTCGGTGAGGTCTAGCACCGCTAGAGTTTATCCACTTCCCCTTTTGTTTTGTTTGGATCCATTCTGCGATGGAGGATCCTATATTTGTTTTGGTTATCCCAAGTATAGGTTTGGGGCTTAAGCGGCCCATACACGCTCAATATTATTGCGCAATATTTAGGTTTGTGCAATATAGTTGATATATTTTTCGCGGTATTTTTCTAACAATACTTCATACTGCTCCCTCTTCTTCGCACGATTAGTATAATATTTACACTTCACATCCCACAGCGCTGGAAGGCCACGATAAACGTCAATGAATTCGAAAATGAATTGCCTATCAGCTCCTTGGCAGCCATGACTACGCGTACTCTGCCACGCGTTGATACTGACTGATGGGATATTGCGCAATATTGCCTACAGACGGCACAACCTTTTCCCGTTTGCACAATATATTTTCAAGAATTTGAATTTAGCACAATATATTGCACTACCATCAATATCGTCTACACACGATCAATTAAATTGCACAACCCAAAATATTGCGCAATAATATTGAGCAGTGAAGGGCCTCCGTCAAAATATTGTGCAACCCACATTGTGCAATAATATTAAGCGTGTATGGGCCGCTTTATGTCTTGCAGATCCTCCTCTGGCCAGACTGTCTGCTTTCTCGTTACCCAAAATTCCCCTGTGCTCTGGCACCCAAGATATCATCAGGTTGTTGTGTTTCCCCAGATTTTGGAGATTTTGGATGCATTCACTGACTAATTTTGATGTGATTCTTTTACATGCTAATGCTGCCTTTTTTAAGATTTTCCAGGGCATAAGCATTGATGGCATGTATTTCTGCTTGAAAGACCGAAGTGTACTTCTCCAATGTGTTTGATTACTCGTGTTTTGGGCTTGTACAGAAAACGCCTGATCCGGTTCCTTCGTTGTTTTTGGAGCCATCTGTATACCACTGTGTCTGATGCTCTCCTGTGTTCTTCCTTTCCTTTGTAGTCCGTTGAGACTGAGGATGGTGTGAAGATTGTTTCCGGGGTCATATAGTCAGTCCCCATTACAAAGAATGCGTGTTTGATTTTGTTGATTACGGTTGTATGCCCGAATTGTTTAGTTCCTTTCCAATTTAATTGTTTTTGGAGCCTAAATGAGCTTTTCCTAGCCTCTCCTTGTATGAATATTTCCAGTGGAGGTTTAGCAGAGTTTCTAGTGCACTTGTATCGGTTGTTCTCTGTGATACATAGGTTTGCTAGGCTTAGTATGCTGCCTAATATTTGAGTAGATGCTTTTTGTGGAGCTTTGGTCCACCACATTAAAGCTCCATAGGTTATTTTGGGTCTTATTACTGCCGTATATAGCCAATAGGCCATTTCCGGTTTTAATCCCCAAGATTTGCCTAAGGTTCTTCTTGTGGTCAAGAGTAATACAGATAAGTGGTAGACAACTTTAAACTCTTAAGGATATATAATGTGCTGAAGCTGTGTTGCGGTGCAAGCAGTAGTAAAATAAACAAAATAACCATCCTGGATTCTTTAACCCGAACCAAAATTTATTTTATATCAAAGTCTCCATTTTGATGACCTTACTTGTTAACGATTTAACGAAATCTGTTGTAACAACGTAAGAAGCAAGCAAATTGCCACATGTTCTTGGCAGTGCCGGTTCAAGGTTGATCGATGTCCATTGACGCGACCCTAACGACTTTCTAGGCCAACGTGTCAAAACAAAACATCGAACATCATCTTCAGTATGTTTACCCGATTAATAATTTAATAAAATGGTTTCCTGATGTTGACCGTTTGAAATAGGTCATGATCAACCTTCCACAGTCTTCTTTTGGATAATTTCAATAATTGATCCGGGTAGAAATTAAAAAGTCGACTTAAACCGCAGGTCTCTTTTTCCTCTGTGCGGTTTTAGAAACGACCAACGGACACGCCCGGCCGAGTCTTTTGAGGGAAAATCGCGGAAATTACATTTCTAAGAAGACATCTTTGATAAATATCGACCCAGGGTGCATTATTTAGGCCTATGGATCGGCCGTTGTAGCGTGCGCCTTGTTTCCGAAACTTTTGATCCCAAAACCGGAAGTGATACAGTCATTGTCATTTCATCGTCATTGTTGCTGTTTTTCCCCAGATTAAACTGACAGAAGCAAGAAAGGAAATTCAGAAGTGACTCAAAGGAATAATGAATAATAAAAATTTACTGATTCGGTTTTTAGAAACGGTAGAACACTAAACGAAAATAATAACTAGAAAAAACAAACTGGACAACATACCAACATAATTGACCAATATAATTGACATGAAACATCTCAGCCAATGTACCTACACAATATAAATGAACTTAAATTATCAAACAAATTTACCAATTTTTTAATTTACATCGCCAACCGACATAGAATTTAGAAATGGCTTCGTGAATATGACAGAATCAAAAGATTCGACTAAATCAAGACTGCATCAGTTACTATTAAAATAAATAGAATATGTACGAATCGAAATCAATTACTGCTACCTACAAAAACCACCAACGTTTGATTTTGACATCAATCCAACGAAAACTGCCGAATGCAAAGACCAGCAAGGTTCAAATTAACAAAAATGCTACAAAGGCACTGTCGCCTACAAATATGTAACATTTTCTGAATAGACATCGATAAAATTATAGCACAGCTTTCACAGCGATCAGTAACTTCTAATTTCGCTTCAATCCAACAAAAAACACTGACACCTAACAATGTCATAGTTCATGGCATTCCTACCATCCTAGCATTTCATTAATGACATGTCCACCAATAAACTACCATCAACTCTGATTTGGCATCATGTAAATGCTCCGTCGCTGCAAAGACAACGTTACATTCACTGATCTATTCCGATCTTGATATCAATTATACAAAGAGACTATCACATGCAAAAACCGGTAGTATTTGAATTAACATCCATACTACAAACACACTGCCACAAGACCTACTGTACCTCGACCTAAATAGATCTATTGTGCTCATCTGTTAATTATAACTCACTGGTCAGCTTCAGGCTATTAACCAGCCTCCACAGCTTTGCCAGCGGTTCCTTGATGTAGGATCTTGCTTGTGGTTTTTCTTGTCCTAGTTGCAAGAACCTGCACCTACGTAGACCTTCTCCGAAACATAAAATGTGTTCTGCAGACTTCTCCTCTTCCTGGTGTATCTGCACAGTGTTTCTTCTGTCTGTACTCCTATCCTATGTGCTTTCTTAAGTGGCAATGCCCCATCAGGAGTCTAACCAGAATCCTGGTTCGGTTGCGGTTTCTTCCCGTAGTTCTTTTGTAAGTCCTTCTATGAATCTCTTCGCGTGCTTCAAACCTGTGGTATTGTTCCACCAGGTTTTGGACTCATTAAGGATCCATTTTAAGATGTATCCTCATTTGTTGCAGGCTGCTAGGCCGCAGTAGGGTTCTGGGCCCATAGAGTCCATTTTGGCCAGCATATCAACTTTTTCGTTCTATGCCCTGAACACCAGGGTCAGGTCATTAATGTCGCTGACTTCCGTCAGGGCCTCCATGCATTTTCAAACACTCCTTGCCTTTGTCTCGCATGAGGCTAAGCCCCTGAGAGCTGCCCAGCTATCAGATGGCTGTCTTCCGGAATGTATTCCTAGCCTTTTTATTTCTCTGGCACAATGTTCAACCTCTATTATTTCAGACTGAAAAACTGTGGCATACTTGCCTAGGTTTACCGTCAGTTCGGTCTTGTGGTTCATCCCAAAGACCCCCAGCTCCCGTACCCTTGTCGGTTTTGGAGAAGTCAGTATACCAGTAGGAATTTGCCTTTAGTGGTGTTCGCTTGACCCATTCTTTCCGTTCTGGTATCAGTACTTTGTACTTCTTCGTGAAGTTACACTTTGACAATGACCAGCACTGTCATAGTTCACAGCATTCCTACCATCCTAGCATTCCATCCACATGTCCACCAACAACTCTGTTTTGGCATCATGTAAATGCTCCGTCGCTGCAAAGACGTTACATTCACTGATCTATTCCTATCTTTATATCAATTTTACAAAGAGACTATCACATACAAAAACCGATAGTATTTGAATTAACATCTATACTACAAACACACTGCTCCCTTTAGAGCGAAGACATTTGAATTGACATCAATCCAACACACTTACAAATTCCAGCAAGTTCTGAATTTATAGCAATCCTACAAAAGACACTGGCACTAACAAAGACTAGCAACTTCTGAACTTACATAAATCCTACAAAAAAACTCTTACCTGCAAAGACCAACAACTCCGATTTAGCTTCAGGTATTTACTGATCCAGCATATTCTCATCTTGATATCAACTCTACAAAAAAACTGTGGTTTACAAAGACCAGTAACGTCAAGTTGATATCAATCCAACAAACTCACTTTATCTTCTTCGAAAACCGTCATCTAAAACTCCCAGCTTTGTGAGCCAATCTACTAAGATTCTGTACTTACAGAGACTACCCTTATGATTGTACACCAATTCTACAAAATATATTGTCCCTTACTATGACATAGCTAGAAACTATTGATTCTCGTTATTTAAGATTTGACTTTCTCTATGACTTACTAATGGGTTGAGTAGAGAACATCGAACATACAAAAATAATATACCAGACACGCTAATCGGACCAGGATGGAGGGTGTATCATGTAGATCAGCTAACTGTGGTCAGCAATGTCTGATATAGTCGGACCCGCGTATTTTCGCGATTTTTAGGTTTTCAAGCATCACTGAGCTTGCCCGATCCGCTGCTTCTGAGGACAGCAACTGATTGGTGATGGGGAATCCGCAGTTGTCTTTTGACAGAATTGTCTGCTTTTCGTGCTTGGAAAGTTCGGCGTATTTTCTTTAAAAAACCAAACAACCAACCAGCTTTTTAGACAGAAGGTTGTTCTATTTTTATATATTTTATCTGATAAGAGATTGATTACCGCCGTTTATGTCTATCCAGGGTGGGAGAGGTGAGCTTGTTGACCGAAGATAATGTGAGAGGGAGTCGTCGCCGCTTAATGGGCCCAGGGAATCAAGGATGGGTCATGACGACGATGTCGCTGCCGGAAAATATGGTAAGAGCCAATTTACATTAACGCACAATTTGGAAAATTACCGGAAAATTAATAATGCGTGTTGTCTGAGAAGACTAGCAACAACGCGCATCGTTGGCATATTGGCGAAGAAGACAAGAAACGAGTTATAAATCTGCACATTTTCTACCCTCTGATGAAAGAAATGTTGTCGATTTTAGCAAAGTACAGCAATTTTGGGCAAAAGTTGTTAATGTAAATTGCGTTCTCAAGTTGGTTTGTAGTTTAAATATTTGTTAATTAGCCCTATTATTCATAAAATTGGTTCATTTATTAAGTCAATTAGAAAGTAGCCATTTTTTATAGTTTGACTTTCTTAGTGATATATTTTAGTATTGATATAGTCAATTTAAAAAATATATTAACTCAATTCAAAACTAGTTTTGTATTTATTTGTAGAGTCTTGTTGCTTAATCGATTTCAATTCCTAATTAGTCAATTATTACAGTCAATATGTCAAACGCAACTCTTTGTATAATCAGGTGTTTAATGGCTTATTCGTAATGTCACTTGGTAAAATTGTCAACGGTTCACAGTTAGTCAATGTTTTTTTTATCACTGGTAGTTAAAAACCATATAAATAAATTAGAAGTCAGCGTTGTGTAAAATCTTTGTTAGATTTTTGTTGGCGGAAGTGTATTTGTAGCTGTAAGATCAACGTGGATGTGACGACTTTTTAGGTAGCGTTGTGTTTGTACTGTTGATATCAAATGTGTTCAAAATCATGGATGGTAACAGTGTTCCTGTGGAGTTTATTTCAAATCAAAAATTGTCGGTCTTTGTAGGATTGATGGAATATGGAAGTTGAGGGCTTTGTAATCTTTGTAATCAGTATCTTTGTAGGATTAATGCCAATTTAGAAGTTATTGGTCTTTGTAGGTATCAGTGTCTCTGTTGGATTTATTAAATTAGAAATTTAGGTCTTTGTAAGTGACAGTTTCTTTGTAGGATTAATTTCAATTTAGAAGTTGTTGGTTTTTGTTATTATCGGTATCTTTGTCGGATTTAATAAATTAGAATCAAATTAGAAATTTGCTTTGTAAGTGCCAGTATCTTTGTAGGATTAATGTCTCTTTAGAAGTTGTTGGTCTTTGTAGGTATCAGTATGTTTGTTGGATTTATTAAATTAGAATCAAATTAGAAGTTTGTCTTTGTAAGTGCCAGTATCTTTGTAGGATTAATGTCAATTTAGAAGTTGTTGGTCTTTGTAGGTATCAGTGTCTCTGTTGGATTTATTAAATTAGAAATTTAGGTCTTTGTAAGTGACAGTATCTTTGTAGGATTAATGTCAATTTAGAAGTTGTTGTTCTTTGTAGGTATCAGTATGTTTGTTGGATTTATTAAATTAGAATCAAATTAGAAGTTTGTCTTTGTAAGTGCCAGTATCTTTGTAGGATTAATGCCAATTTAGAAGTTGTTGGTTTTTGTTATTATCGGTATCTTTGTTGGATTTATTAATTAGAATCAAATTAGAAGTTTGTCTTTGTAAATGCCAGTATCTTCGTAGGATTAATGTCAATTTAGAAGTTGTTGGTCTTTGTAGGTATCAGTGTCTCTGTTGGATTTATTAAATCAGAAATTTAGGTCTTTGTAAGTGACAGTATCTTTGTAGGATTAATTTCAATTTAGAAGTTGTTGGTTTTTGTTATTATCGGTATCTTTGTTGGATTTATTAAATTAGAATCAAATTAGAAGTTTAGGTCTTTGTAAGTGACAGTTTTTTTATTACTAATTTTAGGATTAATGAAGTTGTTGGCTTTTGTGTATTTGTTGAGCTTATAATTAGAAATTGAGGTATTTGCAAGTGCGTTTTTGTCTTTGTGCGACTTTGTGTATTTGTAGAATTGATGACAATTCTAACTTGCTGATCGTGAAAGTGACATTGCCTCTGGAAGTTCAGTTCAAGATAGATAGATAACAGTAGATATCGGTATGTTCGTAGTTAATGCCGAATTTTTTTGAAAAATTCATATCTAAACAGAAGTTGCTGGTCTTGCTGCGGATGTCAATTCAATGTATGTAGATCTTCGTAAAGTTATCGTCAAAGCAGGTGTTGCTGTTATTTGTAGGTGTGAGTGTCTTTGTAGGATTGATATCAATTCAGAAGCTATTGGTCTTCGTAGGATTGCTGTCAAATAAGAAATTTAGCATTCCAAATATTATTGTCATTTTCAACAAGAAGTAGATAAATTTTGAATATTTAAGGCAATTAAGAAGTAATAAACTTTTTGTATTATTAAATCATTTCATTTAAATTCATTTCAGAAAATTCCAGTATTTATTTACAAGTGGAATTGTGTGCTTTCGTTTTAATACAACAAACGAACTTATCTATATTTCTGGTTTTTCAAAAATTCCAGTTCGTTTTTGAATATTTGAGCGCGTTCTAACCATGTTGAATAGTCGATAAGAGTCAACTCGCGGGGAAAATAAATAACCTATCCTTATTTGTGTATCCAGACTATTTTTTTTTTTTAATCGAGTTTTATACGTGTAAGCAAATTTGCATTGTAATCAAAACAAATCAAGCAAATTTTTATTTCCTTAAGGTTTTGTTTTTTTAAAGTTAGATTTATGAATTGTCAATGGATATTAGCACGTTAGTTTTTAAGTTATTTAATTATAATCAAAGAACGATTTGTTAAACCACATACTCCGTTCTAATCCTTTCTTGACTTCAATACAAAATTGCTTTTGAAATATTGTATATAGTACAACGTCAGGATTTTCAAAATTAGACGTATAAGTCCAAAGACGCAATAAAATTGAGGTATCAACGCAATAAAAGAGCAGTTTTACTGTCCTGTGGTATGATGACACATCTGTCTTAAAGGAGGGATAGCACGTAGAAAATTTTCTTCTTCCGTTGGCTAATTTGGTCTATTTAGACGCCAAAATTCTCGCTTTATACAACTGTAAGAACAATTGAAATTGACACAAACGCACTAACGCCTCTGAACCTCTGAATTGACATAATAAATATAAAAGCATAAACCAGCAACCTTTTTGAAGTAACTCTATTCTACAAAAACAACAACGTGCAAGAACACAAAGATCTGCAACTTCAGAATTGAAATTCATTTTACAAAGACATGGAACTCTTCAATGTTTTAACAATTTCTGAATAGACTTGTATCCTACAAAGCCACTGCACCAACAAAAGTCAGCACTGTCTGAATTTACTTAAATATTCTACAAAGAAACTACAACTTCAAAGTCCAGCAACTTCTGAAGTAAATCGATAAAACAATGATACTACGCCTACAAAGACCTGCAACTCCTGACCTAATATCAATACAACAAAGACAACGCACTTAACCTGCAACAACTGAATTGACATCGGTAAAACGAAGACACTGCACGAAGCCATTAGTCAAACAAAAGCACTGATTCTACATAGACTGGCTTCTACTGAATTTACCTACATGCAAATCCTACAAAGACACATCTACAAACAAAAATTTCTGACATACTGACTGTAATCACATTGATACAACTAAGTCACTGCACACTCAAAGTCAGCAACATCTAAATTGACGTCAATGCTACAAATACACTGCGTCAAAGACCAGCGACTTCTGCTGACGCGAAAACAATTCTACAAAGACACAGCTTCTTCAAAGACCAACGGCTTCTGACATGAAAACAATTCTACAAAGACACAGCTTCTTCAAAGACCAACGGCTTCTGACATGAAAACAATTCTACAAAGACACAGCTTCTTCAAAGACCAACGGCTTCTGACATGAAAACAATTCTACAAAGACACTGCTTCTTCAAAGACCAACGGCTTCTGACATGAAAACAATTCTACAAAGACACTGCTTCTTCAAAGACCAACGGCTTCTGACATGAAAACAATTCTACAAAGACACAGCTTCTTCAAAGACCAGCGTCTTCTGACACGAAAACAATTTTACAATAGTCAAAATTGATGGCAAATTCTTAATTCGCTCTTACTTTATAAAGTACACAATTTTGTACTAAACTCTATTGACGCATGGATTTATTTAATATAATAATAATTGACCTAATTATGAACACTATATATTCTAGGCTACACATTCAATTAATTCGATAATAGAATAATAATTGATTTTTAATTGTAGAAAGGCATGGTGTAATTTCTATTGAGTGCAAGAATAAAATTTTTGCTTACCAATAATAAAACTCGGTCGTATTAATCAATTTTTAATTGTTTCAACAATGAAGCCTTCAAAAAACCTAATCTGTTACAATTTTATGACTTTTGGTCAAATAAGTGCCGTGGTGAAAATTGACTAGCATGTATTTGTTTCGAAGTCAGCCTGATACTTCAGCAGTGCAGCATTGCCGCCGTCCGCCTTGTCCCGCTAGTTCGAACCAAATTAATTAATAATAGTATTAATTAACCAGATTAATAATCTTTTGTTTTGAATTATTCGATGTGCAAAACATTGACTGTGAAAATTCACCGGATCCAATTTTTTTTTTTTTAGAATTCTTTGTAATTTGACATCTGTTGACATGAGTATATCATCACGATTTACAGTTTTAGATTAATTGTTGGACAAGCGTGATTATACGGCCCCAAGGTTATACATATATATTTTTAAATCGATATCGATCTCACGATACAAAGCTTGTTTTATAATAAGACGTCAATGTTTCGATTGACATGCGTAAAGCTGTTGAAATTCGTGTCAAAACGTCAGGTTTTAAAATCGACAAGGGGAAATTGTTTATAGTTTCAACGGATGATTTGACTCGCAACAAAGCACGTCTTATCTTCAAATTGGGCACGTCCCACTTTTTCGTAAACGTGTCAGGCGGGGTGTTTTTCAAGGTTACATCATGAGCCCTGTTCTATTTATTATTTATTTACAATTATTGTCCTTCTTGAATTTCACCCACATTGGCAAGTTTCTACTGTGGTTTTTCACAATATGACAATTCTTAATCATTTTATAATTTTTTTTTCTCGAATAAATCTTGATTGCACT